ATACGGATTCCATCCCTGGTCCGGGAAGACCCCACACGCTGCAGAGTAACTAAGCCTGTGTGCCCCAACTACTGAGCCTGTGCTCTAGAGCCCAGGAGCTTCAACTTCTGAAGCCCACGTGCCCTAGAGCCCTGCAACAAGAGAAGTCACCATGATGAAAAGCCAAGCACCGCAGCTAGAGAGGAGCCCCCACTCTCCACAACTAGGGAAAAGCCCACGCAGCAACGAAGGCCCAGCATAGCCAAAAATAAATTTTGAAAAAATCATTATAAAAAAGGAAAATGTTTGACACCATTTTAGCACAAAACTCATCCATTTAGCCCAGCATGTATGCATATTTCAGCCACTGGAGAAGTATGTAGCCACTTCTCTTCATGACTCCAACATTATGGGAGTGGAAAGATAAAAATATATAGTTAAGAAATGGATATGTTTAATTTCTTCTTTCTTTATTTAGAATGTTTAGCACTTTTATATTTCAAAATGCTCACGAATTCAGTTTTAGATTCTGAGTGTATTATTAAATTCTACTATTTAAATTAGAAATAGTCAAAGTAGCTCTTTCAATTTTCTCAAAAGCAGGGCTGGATAAGTTAGACTTCATTAAAATTAAATTTTTTTGCTCTGCAAAAGACACTGTAAAGAGAATTAAAAGACAAGCCACAGACTGGTAGAAATATTTTCAAAAGATAAATCTGATAAAGGACTGTGATACAAAATTTTAAGAGAATTCTTAAAATTCAACAATAAGAGAACAAACAGTCCAGTTTTAAAATGGGTCAAGAACTTTAACAGATAGTTTACAAAAAAGATATACAGATTAAAATCACCATGTGAAAAGATGCTTCACATTATATATCATCAGGGAAATGAAAATTAAAACACAATGAGATACCACTTCCATCCTTTTAAAATGGCCAAAATCCAGAACACTGACAATACCAAATGCTGATGAGGATGTGAAGCAAAAATAATTCTCTTTCATTGTTGATGAAGATACAAAATTGTATAGCCACTTTGGAATACACTTTGGCAGCTTGTTACAAAACTAAACATGCTCTTGCTCTGCTGCTGCTGCTAAGTCACTTCAGCCATGTCCAACTCTGTGTGACCCCATGGACTGCAGCTACCAGGCTCCTCCGTCCATGGGATTTTCCAGGCAAGAGTACTGGAGTGGGTTGCCATTGCCTTCCCCGGCTCTTGCTCTACAACCCAACAATCACACTCCTTGATATTTAGGATTGTGAAAGTAGCTGAAAGTAGCTGAAAACACATGCAAAAACCTGCACACTAATGTTTATAGTAGCTTTATTCATAACTGCCAAAAGTTGGAAGCAACCAAGATGTCTTCCAGTAGGAATGGATAAACTGTGGTACATCCAGACAATGGAGTATTATTCAGCAATAAAAATAAATGATTTTTCAAGCCATGAAAAGACATGGAGGAAATTCAAATGCATATTACTAAGTGAAAGAAGCCAATGTGAAAAGGCTACATAATGTGTGGTTCCAACATATGACATTCTGGAAAAGGCACAACTATGAAGACAGTAGAAAGATCAGTTGGTTGTCAGAGATTAGGGAGAGGAAGAGATGAATAAGTGATGAATAGAGGATTTTTAGGATAATAAATTTATTCTAGTATAGTATGGTACTACAATTATGGATACATGTCAGAGTATATAGAGTATACTCTGGTATCCTCCAGTATAGTATAATACTATAAGGATAGATATATGTCATATGCCTCTGTCCACACTCATAGAATGTATAATACCAACAGTGAACCCTAATGTAAACTATGGACTTTGGATGATAATGATATGTCAATGTAATTTCATCAGTTGTGACAAGTGTATCACTCTGGTGGGACATGTTGATGATAAAGAGTCTTATACATGTTTCAGAGTAGGGAGTGTATGGTAAATCTCTATATGTTACCTGCAAATTTGCTATGAACTTAAAATCAATCACAAATTCTTTTTTAAAAAGGTACTGTACTGTCATGATTAACTCAATTACTTATTACAAGAAAACTATTCAACTGGTCACAATGCATACCAAAACATTTCTGTTTTTTAAAAAGACAATGTTTTTAAAATTATGTTCTGGCTTTGACTTAAAAAATAAGCCAAATACTCGAGATAATCCAGTTGAATACACTGTAATTTGGCAAGTCTTTAAATCCTTGGATGTACTGGGCCTAAGGAAAGAAGTATAAATATCCACGATTCAGAAGTGTAGGGAGAAATTGAGGCAATCAGAACTTGATCTTTATGCTGTATCAGAGAAAAGTTGCTATCCTAGGAGGAGCAAGATCCTGGGCTCCCCTGGAGGGATAGCAGCTTTTAAGTTATATGCAGCAGTATAACTAGAAAAAAAGGAGCTCAAGACTGCAGAGCTGGGCTTGAGACGCTCAGGATGAAGAAAGAATCTTGGATGGACTGAAGACCTGTCCAAGCATGGCTTGTCCAAGATCACTAGGACAGGCATGTTCTCAAATTCAGAAATTTCATTAAGTCTGTGGATATAAAGCTATGTTCTAGAGCAGGCTCTGCCTGACAACAATATATAGTATTCATGGTCATTTTAATCTTGGCTTTGAAACTGCTATTTTCAACACCCTTAATATGCTTGTGCTTGGTGATAAAGTCTTTTTCAAACACAACCAACTCTTGTCAGATACATGCAAAAATAGAGTTTTTAAAAATATTGTTTTAATTAAATAAATAGTAAGTAATCACTGTGGAAGCTTCTAAAAGTGTTACATGCATTCAACCAAATACAGTTATACTTCAGTCAATGTGGGGAGTCCCAACCTTCAGTGTTCTCAGGGAGACATGTGTATATGCTGTGGATTTGACTACTCTTTTCCTAAAAGGAATCCTAGGAATGAGCTTGATGGTTGGAAGGAGCCAGGATGACATGACTGACTCCAGACAGCCCCTTTCATTTGCAGAGCATTTTGAATTTTACCATTTTTCTTTTTTTTTTTTTTTTACTTACATTATCAGTTGACCCTGCAACCATCCATCCAGTGAAGTAGGTTATCATTGTCATTTGCTGTCAGATTTTAGAAAATCAAGATTCATTAGATTAAAGCAACTTGCCTGAGATAGTAGCTATCCAAGATAAAACTTTTCTTGAGGTATCTGTCTAAAATGTTCATCTTGGAAATTATTCAAGCATGGGTAGGAAATGGAATAACGGAGAATCCTAAGTTAGGGGAAATTTTTTTAAAAGAGGTCTACTTGCATGTAGCAATCATTCAACTTTAGCAAGTACTTTTAATGATAGGTGTTGCTAGTTGGGGAAAACCCAAATGGGTGTGTGTGTGTATGTGTGTGTGTGGTTTTTCTCAGCATGTGGAGTTTAATAACCCTAATCACATTCACATGAATATCTGCAGAAAATGAGGATTCCTGGAATTCACCCCAGTTGCTCTTAACTCTTGGAGAGGGCATGGCAACCCACTCCAGTATTCTTGCCTGGAGAATCCCATGGACTAGAAGCCTTATGGGCTACCATCCACAAGTCTCAAAGAGTTGGACAACACTGAAGCGACTTAGCTGCGCTCTTAACTCTGGGAATCTCTAAGGGTGAATCTATATCTTTAACAAGAGACCCTCAGCTGACCTTTTAAACTTGACTTCGCGTGCCTTTCCGGGCCTGTGGTTTCCCCCTTGAGTCCGGGCAGGGCTGCGCTGGGCGGGGCAGGGCTGCGCTGGGCGGGGCGGGGCTGCGCCTGGCGGGGCGGGGCTGGGCGGGGCTTGGGTGAGGTGGGGGGAAGTGGCGGGAGGGGCACGGTCTGGCTTGGAAGGGTGGAGGGTGAAGGGTTAAGGGATCCACGCGCAGGCGCTGCCCTCTGAACTGGAAAGGAAAACAACTTCCGGTCGGAGTCACTCGGCCGGGCGCCGGGCGACTTGAGGGTGGAGAGACCGGTGCGGAAACCCTGAGCTGTAAGTAAGAAACTTCGCTAGCGAGTTGCTGTATCCGAATGCGTCGGGCAAGGCGACGGAGAACTTGTATGTGTGAGCGAAAGGGATACGCTGCCGTATGGGCGCCGCAGGGAGAGAAGCCGAGGAGCTGCTGAGACAGCCACTTCTTATGGTGGGGAGGGACTTTGTGCGAGAGAAATCACCTGGGTCCCCGTCCCGGAGCCGACCGGGAGGGGCTTTCCGGGCCCACGGCGTCTGCGCAGCGACCACGGCCCCCGCTGCGACGGCTTCAGGGGAGGGACCCTGCCCGACTCTGCGTCGGCCGCTCTCTGTGACTTGATTTCTTGGCCTGCCAACCTGGGAGGCAGGCCTGTGATGTCAGGGTGAGCAGTGGACCCCACCTGGAGGTCCCAGCCTCCCTTGAGGACCGGGGGCTGCCTTCCAGAAGTTAATACTATCTTTGTTACTCTTTCAAAAACTTCCTAGGTTCTTTCTGTTGTTTTTTCCCCAAGGTTATTGCACAGTTTCTCTCTTAGCTTTCCTGTGGGGTGTCATCATAGCCTTGTCAATGAGAAGTTGGGTAACCTCCCCGAGGGTCAAGGAGAAACTGGATGGCTAAGGCTGAAAGAGCGGAAGCAAACCCTGCCCCCAGTGGGAACCGGGCGTTAGGCGGAATCCCTAGCGCGGTGTAAACTGACTAGTGACGAGGTACACGTGTAACAAGATGTGCTCGTCACGAAGTGAAGCAAGGAGGGGGAGTCTCTGTGTGTCTTACTATGCTGTAACAAGAGGTATAGCAGCCTTTGCTATATAAAGTGTCCCGTGTCTCACAGATGCTTTTGACAAGTTGTGTCTTAAGAAAGAAATGGTTAGTAAAGAAGTGAAGTGACACGAAAGTGAAGGAAAATAGCGTGATCTGTTTCCCTACCACCACGGGAATACACATTTCAAAGAGGGGGAGCAGAGAAGGGAGCTCTGTAGTCTGCGAAAAAAATTTTTGTCCCTCTCACTGGGTAGGAGAAGAGAACCCTAAAGTGGTAACAGTCATGTTTTAAGCAGAAAATGAAACTCCTTCACGGCCCTCTCCCCAGCCACAGGTACTCCATCAACGTCTTGCACATCTCTCTTATGTGTACATAAACATGTTATTTCGCTTTCTTATGAAAGTAAGATTGTATGTGCATACAGTCCTATTATTTGGTTTTTCAGATAGAATATATATAGTGGAAATCTTACCATATATAGCTCTGCTTTACCTTAATGTCAGCATGGGATTTCTTTGCCTGGATGATCCAAATGTAGTTAAACATCTCTTAATATGGCCTGTCTATATATTTTGCTCTTGTTCTTCACAATTTTTTAATCTGTATTTCATTAGGATACAGATATATTAACCCTTTGTGAATTACATGGTGAATATTTTCAAGAACTATCAGTCTTTGGGTTAAAATGCCCAGGTTTTCACTTAAGAAGATGGTCCTCACTCAAAAATTATTAAAATATTTTCCTTTATTGTTCATTACATCTTCTTACAGTTTTGTTATGCTTTACTCATTAAAACGTATGAAAATCATTTTTGAAAATTGTATAAGATCAGGATTTAGCCATTTTTGCTGAAATCATTTGCTGAAATCATTTCATTCCCAGCTGGCTAGAAATACTACCTTAATATAGTAAATTTCCAGACATACATGAGTCTTTTTTGGATTCTTGTGTTCCTTTGTTGTATTTGCTTCTTCCTATACAATTACCAATCTCTCTTTGGTTAGGCACTTTGTAGTCATTCATAAAGCAAGCCCCTCTTCAAATATCCTTGATGATTGTATTCTCTCTCAGGTAAAATTTAAAGTAAACTATTTATATTTTATTAAAACAGGCTTCTTTGGGGAGTTTTGTTGTATAGTTGTCAGTCATATCCGACTCTTTGTGACCCCATGGACTGTAACCCACCAGGCTCCTCTGTCCATGGGATTTCCCAGGCAGGAAAGCTGGAATGGGTTGCCATTTCCTTCTCCAGGGGAGAGATCTTTCTAATCCATGGAATGAACCCGATTCTCCTGCACTGAAGGCAGATTTTTCACCACTGAATCACCAGAGAAGCCCTTGGGGTGTTTTAACTATCCACTAATATTTTGTGACTGACATGTAGATGATTTATGTTTATGGCCAACTTTCTAAAATTACTGGTTTTAATAAATTGTCTCTTGAATTTTCTAAGAAAATAGTCTTCTGAATATACCCTTATCTCCTTCTTTATACTTCTTTCTTTTGTTTATAAATATCTAGCTTCTCCAAAACAGTGATATATAATAACAGTGATTCTGGGCATCCTTATCATATTTATTCATTTGTAGTTGTTTTTATTGTGTCATCATTGAATATGAATTTTATAATAAATTTCAAATAATTTTATTTATCAAATAAGTATCTTTAATATTTCTAGCTACTGGGATTTTTGCAGGGAATGGATTTTAGATTGTGTCTAAAGTTGGGGTTTTTTAATTTTGCTTTTTCTTTTGCATTGGCTAGCACTTTGAGAGCAGTTTTGAATAGTAGATGTTGAGTTTTCATTTGGTGTATACATTTGCTGTTGATGTATTTTCATTGCTACTTAGCTAAACATTTTTATCAGGAGTGGAAGTTGAGTTTTGGCATCTAATATGGCCAATCATGTGGTTTTCTTCCTTGACCTTTTAGAATGGCAAATTGTTTTAATAGATTTCTACCTTTGTTGTTGTTGTTTTTAATTTTTATTGGAGTATAGTTGATTTATAATGTGTTAATTTCAGGTGTACAGCAAAGTATACGTACATATATCCACTTTTTTTGTTTGTTTGTTTTCCCATATAGGCCATTAGTTCAGATGCTCAGTCGTGTCTAGCTCTTTGCGACCCCATGAACTGCAGCACGCCAGGCTTCCCTGTCCATCACCAACTGCCAGGGTTTGTTCAAACTCATGTCCAACGAGTCGGTAATATCATCCAACCATCTCATCCTCTGTCGTCCCCTTCTCCTCCCGCCTTCAGTCTTTCCCAGCATCAGGGTCTTTCCCAGTGAGTCAGTTCTTTGCATTAGGTGGCCAAATTATTGGAGTTTCAGCTTCAGCATCAGACCTTCCAATGAAGATTCAGGACGATTTCCTTTAAGATTGACTGATTGGGGGGAAAAAAAAGATTGATGGGATCTCCTTGCAGTCCAAGGGACTCTCAAGAATCCTCCAACACCACAGTTCAAAAGCATCAATTCTTCGGTGCTCAGCTTTCTTTATAGTCCAACTCTCACATCCATACATGACTACTGGAAAAACTGTAGCTTTGACTAGACAGACCTTTGTTGGCAAAGTAATGTCTCTGCTTTTTAATATGCTCTCTAGGTTGGTCATAAGTTTTCTTCCAAGGAGCAAGCATCTTTTAATTTCATGGCTGCAGTCACCATCTGCAGTGATTTGGGAGCCGAAGAAAATAAAGTCTGTCACTGTTTCCATTTTTTCCCTATTTATATGCCATCAAGTGATGAGACTGGATGCCATGATCTTAGTTTCTTGAATGTTGAGCTTTAGCCAACTTTTTCACTCTCCTCTTTCACGTTCATCAAGAAGCTCTTTAGCTCTTCTTCGCTTTCTGCCATAAGGGTGGTGTCATCTGCATATCTGAGGTTATTGATATTTCTGCTGGCAGTCTTGATTCCAGCTTGTGCTTCATCCAGCCTGGCATTTCGCATGATGTTCCCGGCATATAAGTTAAATAAGCAGGGTGACAATATATGGCCTTGACATACTTGTTTCCTGATTCAGAACCAATCTTTTGTCCCATGTACAGTTCCAACTGTTGTTTCTTGACCTGCATACTGATTATGGAGTATTTAATAGATTTCTCTGTGCTATACAGCACGTTCATTAGTTATTTTATATAGTGTGTATATGTCAGTCCCAGTCTTCCAATTTATCCCTCTCCCCTTTATCTCATGTTAACTGTAAGTTTTTTTCTACATCTGTGCTCTACTTCTGTTTTGTAAATAAGCTCATTTGTATCTTTGATTTCTAGTTTTTGAACCAAACTTACACTTCATCACTGTGTTAAATTTCAGCATATAGGTTTCTTTTTGATAACAATTTTATTTAAAATCAGTAATTGAGTTACATCTGTAGATATCTTTTTTCCTGTTATCTTTGCCAGAGTTTAATATCAAGGCTATGCTGATTTTCTAAAAAGAATTTATATTAGTTCTTTCTTTCTCTGCTTTGAGGTGGTTTAAATAGCTTGTTGTTTAGTTTCTGAGTTGTGTCTGACTCTTTGCAACCCCATGGATTGTAGCCAACCCAGGCAAGAATATTGGAGTGGATTGCCATTTTCTTCTCCAGGGGATCTTCCTAACTCAGGGATTGAACTCAGCATCTCCTGCATTGGCAGACTCAGCTCAATTTGCTGAGCCACCAGTGAAACCTAAAATAGTTTAAGAGCTCTCTGTTTGAAAGTCTGAAAGAATTAATTCATGAAAATACAGTGGACCCTTGAATAATACTTGAAGGTTAGGGGTGCCACAGCTGCCAACAATTGAAAATCTGCAAGCAATTTATAGTCAGCCCTCTGTTTCTGAGGTTCTGCATCTTCAGATACAATCAACTGCAGATAGTGTAGTACTGTAGTATGTATTTAGTGGGGGAAAAAATTCACCTGTGAGTATATCATGCAGTTAAAACCCATGTTGTTCAAGGTCAACTGTACATTGTTCTTAAGGCAGCAATAATATTCAGCAGAAAGATCCAGAACTTTAAAAAGCAAACAAAAGCTCCTTAGAGTAAATCCTTATAATTGAAGGAGTGTGAAGCACCAATAATGTAGAGAATGAAGAACTGCTGTGCTGATCCTGGTCATTTTTATCCTCCACCTTTTTTTTTATTTTTCAGGGAAAATGCTGTGTGTAGACTGGGGGTGATAATAAAGTGCTTTACTGTTTTTTCTCTCCTCTACTCCAATTTATAAAGGAAAGGGTGTTGCTTCTACATGGGCAAGCTTTTATGCCCTGAAAGAAACATTGAGTGAAACTCAACTAAAAGAGCATCAGTTCACTTTGTTGTCATCAGCTTCCCAATTTTCCCAGTAAATTTCTTGTTTTAGAGGTAGTAACCAAGCTGACATTCTACTCTAGCCAAATCCAATAGGGGAGTTTCAAAATGAGTGGCTGAGAAAATATGCAAGCGCAGCATGCTTTTACTTACTGAATATGAAGTGAAAATCTATAACAGTCTAGGTAGGACCCACATAAGAACAGGGCTGTCTTCTGAGGCATATAAACCATATAACCACAGCCCACTGTTTTACTCAGCTAACGAATGGCATACTGTTAATATGTGGATAGTAGTGTATTATGTAATCTTTGGGAGAGCTATTCACTTTTATAAATGTTTATTTGAAATACTTTTTGATTGCTTTCAAGCAAGACTATTAATAATGCAGTTTAGCAGTACACATCTGTGAACTGGAGGAAACTTCAAGATGCTCATCAATGTTATTTACGGAGGAATGCAGGTATTCTGTCAGTGTTTGGATATTTGAGTAGCTTAGCTTAAACATCTGTTAATCTAGAACAAGTGATTATTGGCATAGTTTGGGGGCATGCCCTTCCCTGGTAGCTCACTGGTAAAGAATTTTCTGCCAGTGCAGGAGATACTGGTTCCATCCCTGGGTTGGGAAAATTCCTCAGAGGAGGAAATGGTAACTCACTCCAGTATTCTTGCCTAGGAAATCCCATGGACAGAGAATCCTGGTGGGCTACAGTCCATGGGGTCGCAAAGAGTCGGACACAACTTAGCAACTAAACAACAACCTATAACAAACAAAGACTGCATATTTTTTAAAAGCATACCAATTATCTGTCAGGAAATGGTAAAAAAAAAAGAATACATAGCCTCTTGATGTAAAACACTCTTCTAACTACAGTTGGTCCTTGAACAACACGGAGGTTAGGCATGGCAACCCTCTGTTCAATTGAAAATCTGTGTGTAAAGTTAACCCTCTGTATCCAAGGTCCCTGTGTACCTGTGGTTCCACCATATCGGCATTTCCACATTCAGGGATTCAACCAACGACAGATCGTA